CCGCCTGAGCGGGTTTCTCACTCACGGGATGCGGAGTTTCTCCTGCCCAAGGGGCTGAGAGCTGGGCTGAGGGAGGGAAGGGTCCCTCGCGGGTAGCCCGGGGGCAGCAGCGCGGAGACCCCACGAACCGCCCCCGGGGTCTGGGCCGGGTCGGAGGCGGCGGTTTGTTCAGCCCCGACGCGGGTGTAGGAACAGCATCATCCGGAGCAAGCAGCCGTAGATGAAGACAAGCCTGGGTTTCTCAGTCTGGAGTCCGTTTCCTAGCATCTGAGCCAAAGAACGTACTCACCACCTGTTGTTAAGTGGTTGCGTCTTAGTTCATTTTCCCTTAATTTCGTTACCTCCCGATGACAATACTTTCCTCTTCTTCACCTTCGGCGGTGTATCTCAGCTGAAGTAGATCAGTCACTGCGTGCAGCGCGAAGAAGACCTGGCGGTGGTGTGAGTGAAAGCTCTGTGTCCAGGCGGCACCTGCTGTTACCCTCCCTTGGCAGGGGAGACCTCAGGCGTGATCCTCTGCCCGCTCCTGCCCCTGCCGTGAGAATGCCAGTGGCAATCCCCTGGATATAAGGGAGGGCAGGGGCTCGGTTTTTAGAGGAGTTACGATTCCTAAATGTTTTTTGCAAAGTGCATGGCCAGGTAAACTAGAGAGCTATAGCGAGGAACTTACAGCAGGAAAGATGAGGCAAGGTTAAGGTACCAGAAAAAGCCAAGGTATGATTTTGGCATTTGCAGCAGGGAAAGTGTTAGTTCCACAGTATCATTTGTGTAGCAGCTCTTGGATAATTGTGTTTTATAACCCTGTATACACTTGCGAGATAGAAGGCTTCAGACTAGATTTTACATGCAAGTCACAGAGAATTAGGCTGCTTTGAAAACCTGTGAAAATATCTTCAAATGTCCTTCATAATTTTGAACTGCCTTAATTCCATTAAAACCTGGCCCTAATGTTGAGTGAAGTTATGGCACAATGTAAATAATACTAGTGTTCAAATGATACTCCAGCTATTAGAAATCTGGAATTTCTTGAGTTCTTTGAGTTCTTGAATTCTGGAATTCTTGAATGCCTTGCCGTTTTGGCAGCTTTCATGGCTATCAGCACTGGGCTTGCAGCGATTTCGGTTCCTAATCTGCAAATTACTCTGTGTCCTGTTGGGTTTATTTAGAAGCCTGCCTTGCGGGTGATGGTGGTATCGGAAACAGGGGTTTATCGCTTCTTAATGCAATTACACTGGCACTGCAGCAGAGCCACGAAAGAGAATGAACTTTTATTCAAACATCTGTCAGCCGTGACATAGACCAGGAGAGATAAAATTAAGATTGGATTCTTTTGCTGTCTGGTGTTATGTTACCACTGCATTCTTGAATTGCATTGAAAAATGAATCTGGACAACAGTGCATCATTACAGGAAGATGAAGGGATTTCTCTTCTCCCTTATATCACCCCGTGACTGAATTTAGGAAATTTAGGAAAGAGCTTTTCATTTCAAGATTTTCTTTCATGAAGGGATCACATTTTACCTGTTCTTTTTGGGGTTTTTTTTTGGAGTACTGTGGTGTTGAGTCTTCTGCTGATTTCTTTTTGATAATCACAAACCAACATTTATCCATAAACATGGTGTCCTCGTAATTCCAAAACATTTCTGAATGTTACTGTACAGTGACCTCTAGGGCATTGTTGTTTCATCTATGTGAAGGATCTTTCTTCAGTAAACCAAACCCGATTGCTTATTTAACTCTTGGAGCAATTAAAGACAGATAAGTATTCTTCAGATCAAGTCTATCTCTGTGTGCTTCCAGAACAGACAGCGGTGGCATGAATTTTTGAGACTGAACATTCCAGTGTAAATCCGAGTCCTTCCCTTTGCACCCGGTTTGTGCTGGTTTGGCTGTGGATTTACTTTGCACTTCCAGGCAGTTTGTGTTGTGGAAACAATGAAACCCCATGTGCCTGTACTGAAAGAAGAGGTAGTTGGGTTTGCCTGTGTTAGGCAGATTTTTAAATTTCTGACGAGGGAAGAAAGAGGGCTGGAGTGCTTCAGCAGCAACGTCTGACTTTTCCTTCTGTGCTGCTCACTGGTGATGGGCAACGGTATTCAATCAGCCTTAAGGTAAACTGATATCAAAGACATTCAGGAATCAGCAGTGAGATAACCTTTTATAACAAAGCCTTCATTCAGACAGGTAACTGGCAGCTCCATTATTGGCAGGCCGAGTCTGTATAAAGGGTGGAGGAAGCAGAATCAATTATGCCTGTCATGTCCCCCCTAAGAAAAAAGTGTTGCTCGTGAAGTTGGCGGCCCCTTTTCGAGAAAGCAGCCAGCTCCAGCATCTCAGGGGGTTGATCTGGTATATCAGTTTCATACTGCTCACTTATGTTCAACCTAAATAAAAGTTAGATGTTAACAGATGCTTTCTGAGCTTGATTTTTCTGCTGACCTGCGGCTGATAGTCCTTTACTCCCGTAAGCAGTGGTTGTAAGTGGCTGCTGAGTTTGCCTCCTTGCTTTTTTATGCTGACTTGTTAGAACCTTGTATTCCCCAGGTCTGGACGTGTTCCACTTACTGAGGGTAATGTATTCCGTTGCTTAAAACTTTGCTATGGAAAAAGAGTCTTTAGCTCAATGGGCTGTCTGCTCCCATGCCAGATGTCTCTCTCGGGCCAGTTTTTTCTTTACTAGAGCAAAAGACGAGCTGATTTGCCATTGATTTACCATTCTGAAGATGTTGTGGTAGCTTACAAGCAAAGGCATGGTGCCTCCATCCTTTGGGACCGGAGGCCTCAGTGTGGTCCCTCACTTGTCTGTAGCAAAGAGCTGTCACGGATTTCTGTGACCTGCCTCAGCGTGAAGCGGTTCTGCCATCGCAGCTCAGGCTGCTGGAGTGTAAAGTTAGTCCGGGAAGAGAATATCCTTATGGCACCATAATGATGGTGTTTATTAACAATGAGGGGTTTTTTTTGGCACCTAAGTGTTGGTTTCTAAACAAAGTTGGTTTTGAGAACGGAGTGTATACAAATTAGGCAAAGCTTCCTGTGCCAGCTGGGTGAGCAAGAGCTGTTTCATACTTTCTATTATTAGGCCCTATTTTCAGTTATTTGTACGTTTCCCTGGCATTTGCCTCAAAATTTTCCATGCCTTACCTGCTTCTGAGAAAAAGAAGAAATAAGAAGTTTGCTGTTCAGTCAGCGATAAAAAATTGTCCCACTGCTCTGATGAGCTCTGTGCCTTCGAGCAAGTTCTTGAAACTGGAGAGGAGCACGTGCAAGGGCGAATCCCTGCGCCGATGGGGGAGCGCCTCTGCTTTCCTCGCGCAGCTCTGCCCGCGCCGAGTGAAGCTACAGCCTTGCGTGCAGTAGATGCTTGTCTGAGCTGAAAATCGATATCCTTTCCAGGGTATCCTTTGCAGAGGTCGAAGAGCAGAGAGCACCCTGGTGCTTCGGGGTGCCGGGAACATCCCATGCCCAGAGAAGGAATGCAAGTTGAGCGGGGGACTGCAGAACGATACAGTCTTGTGGCTAAAGCTGTCAAATGCTGGCTTGTAGAAGTAGATTTTATCCCTCTTTCTTCCCTGCGCTGCCTGAAGGTTGCAGAGCAAGTGACCGCTTCTCAGAGGCTGTGTTGCGTAACGTACCACGGGTCTTGTGAGTCTAACCTGAAAAACTTGGGGTCTCATTGGAAAAAGTACTTAGTACTTGCATTTTTAATCAATAAGAATTGTACTTTGAATATAGCAAAATGCTACAAATGCTAAACAGTCTGAAAATCAAGCTTTGAATGTCTTAAATTAGGCACTTAAAATCAGTCAGCATTTCTTATGATTTTTGATCGTCATGTGCACTGCTTCACCAGGATGCCAGCTTATGTTAAAGAAGTCTTTCACTCCTGTAATGATGTATTATAAAAAGAGACTAAAAGCTTATTAAGTTATATGGAGTGCTATAAACGGTGTGCAGTAACTGCCATGTGAATACGTATGTAATTCATATTACGTACGTTCAGATTAAAAATCTACACTGATGCTAACAAACCTGTTTGGTATATTAGTGAAACGTCCATGCACGTGGAGAGGTTTTCTATGCGATGTGCTTCTCATGTAGCAGTTATTTCCTGAAGACATTGCTGAGGATGGAACGGTTACCTAAAATTTAAGTAGATTCACTTAACAAAATGTGCACTAATGAACATGTCCTACCTTTCACGGAGTTGCACAGCAGTGAATCAATACCTTGACCAAGAAAAAATACGTTTTATATAAATAATCACTCATTTTCCCCTGATAAATAACTGAGCTTCTCTTTTTTTAATTGAAGAAGAAGAAGAATACGACGAGCCTCCACGGTGCAAGGCGGGACAAGATGTTGTGCTGCAGTCACCTGTCGACTGGGTGCTCTTGGATGGCCGAGGAAGCTCAGACGACCGTGGAATTGTGCAGTACGAGTGGTTGTTGGTGCAAGGTGACTCGTCGGTGGAAATGAAGGTACACGTGCAGTCTCACACATGGCCAGTCTTTCGCAGGTTGTTGTGTTAGTTATAGCGGTTTTAAACGTAGAGCTAAAACACGAGATGCATTCAAATGGATACGGCTACCAGGCACCAACATTAGGATGACTGTACAACGTGAGCATTTATTTCATAGGACCATGGAGCAGGCCAGGTTGGAAGGGATCTCGCAAGATCGTCTGGTCCAACCTTTTGTGAGTGAGGGAGCCTAGATGAGATTATCTAGTGCCCTGTCCAGTCACATCTTGAAAACCTCTGGCGATGGAGACTACTGTGTCCCTGGGGAGGTTGTTCCAGGGATTATTTCTAGAGTTTTATGCAGTTTGTCTGTCTCCAGGATGGCATGAGACAGCCAATAGCACACAAGTAGATGCTAATACTCTACTGTATTTCAGCTCTTCTTTTCTTTTACCATTGTTTGTGCTCACTGCACTTGGTTTTCAGCTTCTGTGATCCAGGTTAGAGATACCTCAGTAGCTCAGTTACTGAAAATAATAAGGTATTCCCACCAACAGTCTTCTGTTGATGCTTATCGAAAAACTGCAAAGAAATGTGTGATGTAGACCTTATCAGATACCTTGGGATGCTATTTTATTACATCCATGCAATTTCTGCTGCAATTGGATTTCAACTTAAATATTCAGGACATGCTGGGAACTCCACCTAGAGTGGGAGGAACGTGTAAAGGGGAGAGGGTGTGGGCCATAGACCTTACTGTTGTTGAGATGCTGCCAATGGGTAGGAAGAGTTTAAGCAGGCCAGGATCAACAAAAGGAACAGTCCAGAACCCGAGAGGCCATGTGTGCCAGTGCCACCATGAGCAGTACCTGACAGTTGCTGCTTGTGTCTGTTCAGATCGGTAATACCAAAGACAGAATACCAATATCAGCAAAGTTACTGAAGATGTGTAATGATGGAACAAACCAGACATTTGCCTAACACAAAGAGCTAGCTAAATGCATTGAAACCTATAGTTGTCATCCATGGAAAAAGCCAACAGAGCAATTGGTTATTCCTTAGTCTCCCGGAGGGCAGCGTAGGTAGTGTGTGCGTAATTGAAGATCGCCATGTCACAGTTAGGAAACATGCTGCTGGGTGAACCCTAAGAAGACAATTGGGTTTCTCTGGTGAATGGTTACTGAAATTTATGCACAAGTAACTTTTTATAAACATATTCCTCGCTGAAAACACAGCAGGGGTGTTCAAAAGTGTTAGCTAAGCCAAGGCTGCATGCTTTTGAAAGTTCTATCTTCTACTGCAAGATCCACACCTTTGGAAGGGTGACTGCAGTCAGCCGGTTCTGAATGACTTGAGGGTGTATTGCAGCTTGAAACTGTCATGTCAAAGACCACTGCGAGTTTGTTTATCTTCATTTATTATTTTATTGGCTTGAAAATTAAAAGGCCAGAAGGCTTTGGTAAGGAGCGTGAACAGCATAATACATAGAAAAGACTTTAATGAAGCTCTAATAGTTGCTAGATACCATCTGGATGAAATGAACATTTTATTATCAAGAGTTGTTAATCTGACCCTTTGCAGCATTATTTTCTTTAAATAGCGATTAAATACTCTTTAAATTAATCCGTGGTGTAGTAGTATATCTACAGTAAGAAAAAAATTGGAAGTTAATAAAAAAATTTAAAGTTCATGTTTGTACTTGTGATTTTTTTTGTACCATCTTCAGTTGCTGTCTTTAGTGCTTTAGTTGCTGGATTTCGTGTCATTTATTCTTAGAAAATTATATATGAATCCATAGCTACAAGGGAGAATGGGACTGTGTTTAAATAAGATAAAAGGCAGCTGTTGCACTGCACTTATGTACCAATGAATAAATAGAAGGCAGAGGAGGGGAAAGGACTGCTATAAAGAGATCTTATCGCATTGTAGAAGGAAGCCAGTGGAAAATTTTTTTTCTGTTATGGCTGGTTATTGCCTCTTATGTAATTTGCTTCTGAGGTTGTTACACATGCTGTAGCTGTGCAGCTCTGTGACACGTGGGGGCAGTTATGGGTTGTTTTTTTTCAAAATGCTCATTGTCTTGAAATTTACTGTCCGGTTTGAGCCAGAGTTTGTAAGAAAGCAGGTGCAGTCGGGCATTCTTCAGGGCAGGATGGAGACCAAAAGGAAAGCACAGAGGCTGCCAGGAGGAATGGCGGTGTATTTGAAAGTCAGTGGCGTTCCTCTGGCTCTGCACTGAGAGGAGAGTTGGACTCCATGGCTTTAGAGTTTTAAATACCGTATTTGCTCTGACATTAGTTATGGTGAACAGCAGCATGTGGTTTTTAGAGCAAATTTATTTCTGTAATATGCTAAAGAATAAAATTCTAAGGGGTCATATACTCCATCAGGAGGTAATTAACAGCATAATCAGATAACCGAGTGCATTCGTGTGAATAGAAAAGGAAAGAAATTTCAGTTAGGAAATGCACTTATGAGAAGAGCAAAATGTGTTTGTCAATACACCCTGCTATAAAGCTAGGTCTAGGACTCTATTACCGTATTTATTGAAAATTCCTGTTCTCTTTTAGGCACGAAAAGAAACTTTAAATAAGCAAGCCAAAGATCTTTATTGATTTTTTTTTGAATGTTAAAGATAATCACAGATTATTGTAACGTACCTTTCAATTACTTATAAAAATATCATTTGTAAAAATGCACTACATGTCCAAAAAAGCTACAGCACTTTTTTGTAGTTACTGAAGTATATGTAACTGAATTCTCAGACAGCTGGAGTCATTTGTGACTGGTAATTGTCACAAGGTTAAAAAAAGTTTAACATTTACAAATATCACACTCATTTTATACAAACTTACTTCTAATTTACCAATGTACTAGTAATGCCATTTTGACACCTATTTTAAATTATCATAAAATAAGTTGTTTTATTAATTTCTTAATTATCTAATCTAATTTAAGTTCTTTCTGTATTTGTATTGCATGACCTTCTGAAACCGAATGTTTAGGTCACTCGCTACAGAAGAACTTATTTCTGGTTCAGAACAAGGCACGGAAATTCAGTGTGGGTCATGGAAAAATTCTGTCCAGCAGTTTGCAAAAGTTGCAAGTGACTACATCAAATGTCATACTGGGCAGAGGTGGGCAGTCTTATTAATAAAGCAATGCTATCAGTCACCTTATCATAAATAAATAGCAAAAGTAACTTCTGTGGATACATGCATATTGTCTACAGATAAGTCAACAGAGAGCAAAATACTCTAATATTTTACTGCATACCCTCTAAAACTACACTTCTAATTACTGAAAAAGTGAGTTAAATGTATGTTTCCATTTATTCTTCAGTGTTAAGATCCACAGCTCCAGGTAACTGAGTGTACCGGGAAAAACCGTACATAAATGCTGAATGTGTTTATTTTTACAAATGGATGTGAAAAGAAAGATCAAAATGTTACATGTTGGTACACGTGCTTGAGTGGGCTGGCTAGACTTAGGTATTTAATCTGCATGAAAAGCGTTGTCCGGAAATGAGCTCCCTGTTCCTGAAGTTGATGGACAGATCCTTTATACCAATCTGTTTTTTTTCTCTGTGTCTCTTTTACCAGGTACCACAACCAGGAACACTGAAACTGTCTCACGTCCAGGAAGGCGGGTATATTTTCCAGCTAACTGTGACAGACACCGCAGGTCAGCAGAGCTCTGACAACATCTCTGTGACCGTTCTGCCCATGGTTCATTCTGCAGCAGGTGAGACAATGGCTGGAGCCGTTGCCTGTGTGACACCCAGGGTATGATGATATTCAGAGCAAGGGACTCGATGGAGGCAGAAGTCTTATTCTCCATTTCTAGTGGGGTTTTTGCCTGTATTCATTACTTAATGACATCTCTTTCAGTTTTGAATTGCTGTTTCAAAGTGAGGAAGCAAGCAAGCATGGCTGCTTTGTTAGAGCAGTAATACTTCCAAGCATTTAAAGGCTCATCCTTGCATTGCAAATAAGCATGCAGGGTTGGAAAAATGAAATGCTGCCATATGTATGAGGCACATCCTGACAGTCCGTTGTGTAGGTCAGATGGTGCATGGAAGGTGACAAGGCTTGTGCTATAGTGAAGACCCAGTTAAAAGCAGTTAATAGTGGGTGTGATACACAGACTAATAATAATATTGGCCTGCATCTGTAGTCTAAAAGATGGGATGGTTTCTTGTTTTCATGCATTTAAGCTTTTCAGTGTAATGGTTGTTATTGAAGCCTTATGTTACTGGAAGCTGAAGCTGGGACTGACCCATCATTTTAAAACTCTGAGCTCAAGAAACATGTAAAAAGCATCAAAAGTAGAAAAGAAGTTACATTTCAGTGGCTGCCAATTCTGTGCTTTTTAATGTAGTAACTTCTAATTACATTGTAATTAGCAAGTTGCTAATATGGATCTGCTGCTCTGGCACAAGGTAAAGGTTAAATAGCATCATCACTGTGTTCAGCTGAAGTGGTGAAAACTTTGCTCTGCACCAGTGCAGTATCTCTACATGAGAGGGTAGTCCCAGTGCCAATAAATTGGTATTACAAAAAAACAGTTACAAATCTGTTTAGTAACCCCTGTATTCCAGTAATGGATGACAGAGTTGTATTCATTAATATTGAATTCAGCTAAAGCAGCCAGAGAGGTTTGCTGGTTTGTTTACTTGCTGCTGTGGGTATCCGTGGTACCTTTTGGGTAGAGCACACAGAAGATTTGCTGCCTTTTTTCTAATTCCCCAAGTCCATTTGCAATTCAAGTGCTACTGCTATGGTTAAGCCAGTCTGCGGTGCCTTAATGCATGTCAGACCGGCACTATTATTAGTACTGAAATTTAGGAGATGCATTTTCTGAGTTTGATTTTCAGGGTTTTAAACAGGCGCCTGTGTTCCTG